ACACACACACACACACACACACACACACACACACACACACACCTCTTCATCATGTCGTACCTTTCTGAATGAATTTAACCATTGAAACTTTGATCTAAACAACCGTGTACCTCCCTTTTAAGACTTTAAGAGTGTGTCTGAGGCGACGTGTCCCTGTGGCTTTAAATCACTAAGTAGCAACCTGTAAAAACAGTCTTTATGCTAAGCTACGTTAACCAGCTGCAGGTTCCTATTGAACAGACAAACACAAGACGAGCCCTGTTCTTCTCATCTAAGTCTCAGTAAGAAAGCAAATAACTTTTCCTTTAAAGTAACACCAGTAATATAAAAACTGTTCAGTTATTAAAAGAATTTCCAAAGAAGCCATGAAGTCACTGGAATCTTTCAATAAGAGATTGGTTTACTTGCAGCAAGGAGACAAGTCAGTATAGGCATACAGAGTTGTCTGAATAAGCTAGTCTAAACATCACAATATATATGACAAAGGGAACTCCCTAAAGACGCATTCCAGGCGTTAATCAGGTTGTAAAAAAATTTTGCAGAGGGAAAGTGAACTTGAAAGGTTTTTTTGCCCTGATGACCCCTAAGACACTGCACAATCTGTTATCTGTCTATCTCCACAGTATATGGCTGGAGTGGTTTATGGCTGCTCCTTTAAGTCTGGGGTGCCATCTGGTTGAACACATAACAACACACAAAGTACTAAAACAGAGATAGAACATGTCCTTCAGTTCACACAAGCAGTGTCTCACAGGTCCCTGTGATCTGTAGTTTGTTCTGAAAGGTTAAAATCCATTGAATAACATATATGTTGGTTAATATATTGATTAGAACACAGTTTAAAACATACTTAATAATGTAATTTTCCTGACATTAGTTCTTAAACAACCAAACCTACATTCACGTGAAGTTCTGGCAAAGTAATACACAGTGGTTTACATAGGACAAAAGACAGTACAAAACATAAACAGGACTTAAAAGTTGCACAAAATAGAATATAAAAAGCTGAAATTGAGTCAGATGAGCAGGACAGTGCAGAGCAAGAGGTGAATAAATCATCCCAAATGAAAGGAAAATGGAGACAGTTAAGAGCTGTTTTCATTGTGATTTATTGCACAATTCAAGCAGCCTGAAGATGTCCACTAATAGATTTTCAAACTAAATAGGAACAACGGGAAACCAGTGGCTGCCTGGAGCTGCAGAAGGAACTGCTTTAATAGAAACAAATGGATGTCTTGAACAAATGAGGAGATGTATTAATGCCGTACTTTCCAAAGCAAAAGTTACAGAGCGCATCACATTAAAAACATTAAACAAAAACACTAAACAAGGTTAGAAAATAGACTATGCACAAAACTCAATAAGCAGCAAAACCTGTTTAATACAACAGCAAATGCCCGTTTAAAACTGTGATGTGCACCTCCTTTGTGTCCACAGGTGGTGAAGCTGTCTGAGATCATCTCGCTGGCTAAGGAGGCTCAGGTGGACATCACCTTCCAGCTGCCCATCTAATGAACATCTGTGAGCTCCTCCCTGGACGTGCCCTCCTTTCCACCGCTAAACCTTACGGAGACGACCTCGGACACCTAGTTTCCTCCGCCTGTGGCATGATGGCAGCCTCTTGTTGGTCACAGCGGGATCTCCTGGCTCAAATGACGCCTCCCTCCATGTTTCCTCTAACTTATGTTGCACTAGAGTCGATACGCACAAACCTCCACCTTCTTAACGGCCTTCACCCTGATAAAAAAACCAAAACAGACCAGCTGAAGCATTTTCCAGTTTGATTTCAGGTTCACAGACTGAAGAAGCTGCTGTCACTCACACGATTGTCTTCGGTGGCATCAACTTTCTCCCTATGAACCGAACAGTAAACAACGCAGCGGTGATCTGATAAGTGGTCTGATACAGAAGCTGTGACATTTCTGTCCCTCCCGTAGGCAGAGACCGCTCACTCCTGGGCACAGGGCCTCCAGCGCCAACAGTTAATTAAATAAGATGGATTCAGACTCATTGTCTAGTGTCTGGAGGGTGTTTAGCAGTGGCTCCCAAAACTAATTCAATTCCAAGATGCTCAGTGTTTATTTTACAGTACCTGAGCTACTACTCAGGTACGTGTGTGTGTGTGTGTGTGTGTGTGTGCGCAGCTGGTTATTTTACAGTACCTGAGCTACTACTCAGGTGTGTGCGCGTGCGCGCAGCTGGTATGGTTTTCACTTCACTCAGCAGTCACTAGCAGGTTTGTACAGCTACAGAAACCACATCGTGCAGAGGGAATGTCTGGTGTTCACTGCTTCAGTCTGGGAGTTTCTGATGAAAACAATAAAACCTTAATAACAACAGATTTGAAACTGGATCAAAGTCGATTAGAGGCTCAGGGTGTAGCAGCTGACCTCAGCAGGCATCAACACTGTTCACCCTCAGTGCTGGCTGCCATATTAGTCTGGACACCTGTGGACTCAGGTGTTCTGATCGATGCAGGGACGTGTGCCAATATCGATGAACACTTCAGGAGTCTCGGCTGCAGCGAAGCTCCCATGTGGCCATGTTGAACAGATGTGATGCATCTCGGTTCATTTCTTCAGAGTAACTCCAATGAATTAATCGGCATTCTCCTGGTCAGGACCAGCTGAGTCGGCCCAACGTAATCATTTAGCACCGTGTAGTTTCCTGCATCAGTTTGCTTCCACTGTCTCTCGCTCTGATGAATTTAAGAAACAGATGCTCATCTCATTCTTCCCTGGTGATGATTGGCACATGTGCATCTTCTTCCCGCCTTGTCACTGTCATTCTGAAGTGTGGCCCAGTCCTGCTGCTTTACTCTGGTCACTAACAGACTTCACGCTTCAGACTGGACATCTGAAGAGCAGGCTGTTGTTCATGACATTTTTCCCAGACATTTGAACCCCAACTTGTTTCCATCCAAAGCCTAAAGCTGATGACCTGGACTCCGACCATCACTGTGGAAGTCCCAGGTTCACTGAGCTGCTGCAGCACTGTGGGCTTTTCCTTCCTTTGGCTGTTGAACGTTCATGGACAGTTGGCTGCTGCAGATATGTGTGTCTGAGTTAGTTCTACTGTATCACTGTCGTGGACCGGCTGGTTGCTTCAGTGCTGAACAGGGACTTCTACAGTCTGCCATCATGCCACAGGACAGTAGCCATTTCCTCTGTGTTTGTTCGTTTTTGTTGCTGACAGGGCTCCGGCCTGACATGACTGTAGTTTTCTTTCCCCTTCTATCTCCTCCTCCAGCATACCGAACACAAGCCCACATTGTGAGTTGTATGTCGTTTATTATATCTTGTAAATAACTGATGTTCTCGCTCTGTAAAATATTTATGCTCCACTTAGGGAGCACAACAAAGAAGGAAACCAATAAAAACAGAGGACACACATGTTTCTCTTTGGTTTTTATTCCTGTGTTGTTTTGGTCCCGGCTGAGGACGTTTTCTGGCACATGTCCAGATCTGGAAGCTTTTCTCAGCAGAGTTCAGACTAGTCTACTTGACAGCTTGAAGTGGAAAAACAAACAACAAAAATACATGAATCACACACACAGACACTGATGAAGCCGCCGGTCACACATCTCCCAAACACTGGAGCTCATTTTCAAGTAATCGTTATTTGAATAAAGTAACTGCACCAGACTTCTTCCTGGTCACGACCTGTAGGTCTCTGCTCTTTGCCTGGACCTGGCTCAGACGCCCAGCAGCAAACTGTCCGTTTCACAGTGTTTCCTCTGGATGGAGTCAGACTAGCGGCTGCTCTCTGTTCTCTGCTAAGCTAACTGGTTCCTGGTGACAAACATTATAGTGGTATCAATCATCTAACTGTTGAACAGATGGCAAACACATATTTTCCTAAATGTGGAACTAGATGTGCTTTAACATTAGCATGTCAGTGTGCTACTTTGACTAGCCTGACTACACACAACCGTGACCTTAAAGCAAAGTTCTTTGTATTAACAGTTTCCTGATGTTTAATGAGCCTCTTGGCCTAGCTCATCCTCCAGCAGCGGTGTGAACCTGATGCTGCTGTTTTAATAACTGTGCAGTTTGGCCTGGCGCTGACCCTGATGGAGCCCGTCCTGATTAGAGGTTCTGTAGTGGCTGCTGATTAGTCCACCGGGGGCTCGGTGTGATTTGTGGAGCAGCAGGTTGAAACATGGATTGTTTTTATATAACATGTTGATCCCATAATGTGTCATTTAGATAAAAACTGTCTTTTTGTCTTCAGGAGACCTCTGATGGACTGTTGGGCCACTGATCTGTGAAACCGCTGCAGAACATCTGGGCCAAAATCATTATTAACATTTACATGAGCAGACTTATGGTTTACTCATTTATTAGCTCATACACAGTGTGACTGGCTGTACACTGTGTAAAACTTCAAACTGTCCACATGTAGAGAAGGACATGGTAAAGCTGTTTCCATCATGTCTGTTTGACCTCAGACTTTGTTGTATCACTGTCCTGTTCAACTCTAACACTTTGGTCGCAGCATGTCAGTGTGATCTGTGCAGTAACAATGTAGCGGTACATGTTGGGTAACATTAATAGCTACTCAGACTTTCTAATAAACCATCCGGTCTGGTGATGTGCAACACTTACACAGGCTCTAAAGAGGAATTAACAAATGTTAGTCAGGCCCCTGGACTTACAAATGTCAATAAATCCTTAATAACAGGTTCTTCAGTAATCTGTCAAATCTGCATCAGTACCTTCACTTCTGGTGCTCCGAGTATATTTTGATGCTCATAATGCAGGACAACCTGTAAACTGCAAGGCCAAATGAACAAGCTTGGGTACTGTAGAGAAGCGTCCTGATCCCCAGGCCGGAGTCAGATCCGAAAAACTCCACCTGATCATTAGAGAGAGAGAACCAGCCTGGTTGTACAGTGATGCTGGAGCTGAAGCTGCTCTAGAGGTTCTGACCTGCAGCTTTGCTAAATCAGATGCAGTAGAAATGAAGCACAGCAATGTAGTACTACCCATTTTAGCCATGTGGTGTCTTTGGAGAGCTGCTTGTATTTTAGTAACAGATCCGGGACCAGGCACAACATTCCTCACGCACATGAGTCCCCTGTAAAAAATGAGATCCAGAGTGCCACAATGTGTCCTACAGTCTTTGAAAGTGAAAGTGCAAACCTGTAAAATGGAGTTTGCAGGCAGAAACCTAAGTGTACAAGCTTGCAAAATTAAGTTTACAGGTAAAAATCCAAAAGAACAGATACAGACCTAAAGTACAACTTTACAAAACACCTTTTTGAATAATGTCCTAATCTGCTGCTTGGAGTTCTTTGTGTTGCAGAGATGTGGGCACAACAGCGAGCGGCCGCCAAGATTAGCACCAGCAAGATGATCCCAGATGTTACACAGGCTCACTGGAGCCAGTCCTCAGTGTGAGACTCTGCAACAGAACATCAGACCTCCTCCATGTCACCACGGGGAGTGTGACTTCGTTTTAAAACACATTCATGCACACAAGGCTCAGTGTTCTGTCTTCACCAGTCAGAATCAAACCTGGAAGTTAAAACAGGTGAGATGAACCCACTAACAATTAATTCTGCACATTCACACCTGCATTAACGTGTTTTCTTGCCCAGATACAGATGGCTTAATAAGACCAAGTGTAAACAGGATCCTCAGGTCTCTGCTGGTCTGCAGCTGCAGCTCTGGCCCGGCTTGTTACTGAATTACTGGGTTTATATTGAGACAATAACCTGTCAGCTGTTTGATCAGTCAGTCAGTTTGTTCTGTTCACTTTGAAGCCTCATCATCAGCAGGGGGCCTGTCTGCTGGAACAGTAACGGTATGATTCGGTCACAGATACAGTATGTCCTCTTCATCTCTCTCCTGCACACTCCCTCCTCCTCCTCAGTACCTCCTCCTGGCTGTAAACAGTGATGGACAGCCATGGGCTCTGCTGGCTCACACTGATGAGGTTCAGAGTTTAGAGGAGTCGCACTAGTTAATCTGAGGTTTAGCTGCAGAGAGATGGAAGGGGAGGTCAGTTTACTGCATTCATTTCAATGAACATTCCTCTGATGTCTGCATCATTTACTGTCTGTTTATACTGTTTATTCTGCAGTTTGCACTGTTTGTTGATGTTGATATTAAAACTGCTATTTTGTTTATTTTGCTGGTTTACTGTTTTGCACATTGAGAGCCGATGTACCAGAGCCAAATTCCTCGTGTGCCCGTCACACCTGGCCAATAAAGCTGATTCTGATTCTGATTCAGAAACAGGCATTCTGTCTTAGAGCTCCATTAACTCACTGTGACTTCTAACCCAGTTGTCTGCACCACAGACGATGGAGGTGGGATGTAAACATGAACACAGATTCTATTATCTTAGATCACACTGCAGCACTTGATTCACTTGTCTCTGGATCAGTAAAGTGAGCCAGTGTTGCAACAGAACTCACAGAGGTGCTGACCACTGTCCTGATGTACCTGTCCAGAGGTTTCACAGTCATGAAATCCGACTGACAGTGCTGCAGTCGGTGTGTGTTTTGGAGGGTTTTTGTCTCAGCCATGCGCTACCAGACATCCCACACATGCACATAAACCTTAATGCACTCACGGTCGACTAGACTATAGCTGCTGCGCCTTCCATCTCTGGTTCCTTCCAGGTCTCATGGGTTTTCATCTCTCAGAGGCTGGATGAGTGACGCCTCCAGGACATTTAATATGACCAGATGAAGGCCCAGGACTGCTAATATCACAAGCTGCCTTTATTACTCTTTACTTTAGGGTCAGGACTTTCATTAATAGAGAATTTTATTTTAGGAATTTAAGGATTTAGAAGAGATGTTGATGTTATTAACAAAGGTGATGTAAAGTTGCGCAGAAGACAAACACCACAAGGGTCCACACTGAGGTTTCCATATTTCTTCTCCTCCTCCTCCTCCTCCTCCTCCTCCTCCTCCTCCTCCTCAGCAGCAGTTGAACAATGTTAGTGTCATCACAGAAGACCATCTGGGACAAACTGGGGTGCTCTTATATTCAGGCCAATACAGTACAGGACTCCATCCATCCATTATCTATACCAGGTCACGGGGGGCTGGAGTCAATTCCAGCTGACACTGGGCGAGAGCTGGGGTCCACCCTGGACAGTTCACCAGTCTATCACAGGGCTGACATGTGGATAAACAACCACACTCACTCCTACGGGCAATTTAGAATCGCCAGTCAGTCTAAGCTGTATGTCTGTGGGAGGAAGCCAGAGTACCCGGAGAGAACCCATGCAGGCATAGGGAGAACATACAGACTCCACACAGAAAGGCCCTGGGTCAGCTGGAACTCAAACTTAGAAATTTCTTGTAAGAGGCGCTGTCCCACTGTGCCACCCAGTACAGGAGCCATTCAGTTGAATCAACTGTCATGATTCACACTGTTTACTCTTCCACTAGCATGGACTTTTCATATAAGTGTTGTTGCCACAGTGTGATCCCAGGGTGCTCCACAACAGAACAACTTCTTCTTCTTTAGTTCCATTACATTCTCTTCGCCAGCCTCACACCTTCTGCTGTGGGTGTTTAGTCTTATGTACAAATATTTCTACATCTCATTTATTCCCACAGGTAATCTAGCCACAGGGGTTTGCGGATGACATTGTGATCTGTAGTGAGAGCAGAGAGCAGGTGGAGGTCTACTCTGGAAAGAAGAAGAATGAAAGTCAGTCGTAGTAAGACAGAATATACAGTATGTATATGAACGAGAGGGAGGGAAGTGGAACAGTGAGGTTACAGGGGGCTGAGATCAAGAAGGTGCAGGAGTTTAAATATTTGGGGTGTTAGGTATTTTTAGTCAGATAGACATTGGTCAGATACTTGTTGTATTAGGAATGTTTAGAGGAGACAGGATGTCTAGCTTAGGCTGTTAAATGCTTAGTCATTTTCATGAGTTACTGCAGGATGCTTATGGTCAAGGATAACTAGATAGAAAAGTTGATGACTGTCAGTAGACAGAATGTGTAGTGGTGAAAAATAAACCCTATTCCAGAGGAAATATGTAATGGAACAGTATGTAGCTCATATAGACCTTATTTGGTATTAGCTTATGTACGTGGTTATATAATTAATACTTAGAATCCTAGTTAAGGCCTAGTATGGTCAGAGATGAACCCTCTGCGCCAGAAGATTGGGAGTCAACCTTCCTGTCTTCCTAGAATGGAGTGAGAAGGGGGGTTGCAGAGACGTCAAGGGGGACAGAGTCCAGCTGTTGAGAAGTACAGTGCCTTGCGAAAGTATTCGGCCCCCTTGAACTTTGCGACCTTTTGCCACATTTCAGGCTTCAAACATAAAGATATAAAACTGTAATTTTTTGCGAAGAATCAACAACAAGTGGGACACAATCATGAAGTGGAACGAAATTTATTGGATATGTCAA